TAGCGGCGTTTCCACAGGTGTTGTTTGTATCAACAGCTCCTTCTGTACCAAACCCGAGCCTGGAATCACACGAAATGCAGTCATCTTCGTTATTGGTCACAATTCCAATCCTTGCGGATGCGATGTTACCACCACATCCTGAGTTAAACCCTTCCTTGTAACATTTGAGCTGTAAAGAAGCATTATTACCAAGTAACTTCTTCCACGTGTCACGACCCAGTGATGTGTTCCGATATCTCCCATCAGCGATCAGTGAGTACAGAGAGTCAGCCTGCTTGATGATGACAATGAACTTGAGCTGTTGATCGATCTTCATACCGAGACAGATCTTGGAGAAGGGTGTGTTCCAGTAAGTGGACAGCTTTGTTTCCCGTTGGTCAAACCCAGTTTCCCCTGCAGAAGGATTGTGTTCGTTTTTATCAGTCCAGTATGATTTGCGAAAGTGAAAGGTGTCCTGTCAAAAATAATAGGAATTCGTTTGTTCGTGTTTTCCACACTGATCTGTGACAGAGTTGTAGAGATGGGTCTCATTCCCGATGCACTGATTGGTTTTATGCCAAGAGATACAATCTGACATTTTGGCAGCCGCGAGATTCCGCTCAAGCTGTCGAAATGCTGGTCACTGTCACTGTCAATGATCGCTCATACACGTACAAAAGCATGTACACGTAAAAAGCATATACATGTTTCGACAAAAGGCAGCTTGATTGGAAGACATTCATGAGAAAGCAAGGTTACTAGTCTCAATACGAAAGGTTTTGTTAAACTATTAGCATTACTTTACTTTCGGTTCAACTCATTCAGTGCAGGTATCTCATTATTAATGTTCTGATGGATGTACTCCGACATACTGGAAATATTGATCTGGCAATTACATTAGAAGGAAAAAAAAACTCAAACCTTGCTGCCGTCAATCTTCATCACAGGCGTCCATCCTCCATCTCCACATCCAAAATCTCCCATGTGACAAAGAATGGAGACTGGTTTCTCGCTGATGATCAGAGGGACCAACTTACTCACGTTAAGCCTGTAACGGACAGGGTTTTAAA